AAGGTAATATAAATCTTAACTCAAAGTAATTCACAGGAGGAGGACATTTTTTTTTCTCGATGACTTATACAGATTTCAACCAAAACTTTGTTTCGTATATTCTTTAAATCCAATGGTCCTCTGTTTATACATAGTGTAGATAAAGGCAAGACTGTAGGTCACAAGTATTATATTGAAAATTATCTAAAGCCTTTTGTTAATGAAATAATGAAGCAAACAGAGATATCAGGTTCAAAATGTATAAAATTGCTTAACGATCATCGTTGACTTCATATTCATCCAATATTATTAATTATTTCAGAGAAAAAAGCATCAATATCACATCCACCGTATTCGCTGTACCTAGTACTACATAATTTCTGGTTAAATAATTGTACCGATCGGAGTTAAACTGATTAAATAAATGAAATATGATGTGTTTATGCGGTTTCCAAGGTAGCTGAAAATTTTTTCGAAAAAGAGTTCAAAAGAAACTTTTAATAAACTATTAGTAAGGTTGAACTTGCTATAAATAATCATAACAACTATCATGAACATTTGATGAAATAAAATTGAAAATATCTGCTTATCTTTATATTTTTATTTAATGTTCTTAGAACTTTTGGTCAGACCTAAGTACGTTTATATCACGTGAATAAGCACGTGGAGCAATCTGTCGTTTTCTAACATTTTTCTTTAAACGAAGAAACATGCTTCCTATAACGTATCTCTCTCTCTATATATATATATAGGGTATCATACGCCACGTGTAGAGTAAAATCCCCTAATTCGAACGGACTTTTGAAAAATTGACTTCTTTTGATTATTGTGAGGTTGTTTCTTAAGAAAGTAGATAACTTTTTACATTTCCGGATAGAGAAAAGTGTGCTGAACATGATGGTTAAAAAAACTTTTAATTAATCCCAAAAATGAATGAGTTATGACCGGTAGAATGAATCAGGAACGGTCCGTTCAAATTAAGTGCAATGCCCCTAATTCGAACGGCAATGTATATTTTTGCTCCTAATTCGAACGGACGCATCAAATACAAGAGAAAAATAGGAGAAAAAGTAAAATGAGTTGTTTCTGCTATTCCAAATGCGTGATCAAGAAAAATTTTTGTCACCAAAAATGTTCTACACACTCGACTCTATCTACCTGCAGCAGTTCAGACCTAACTATCACTTCCTTCCGGACATATTAATTGTTCAAAATAGAATGTATCCGTTCAAATTAAGTGCAATGCTCCTAATTCGAACGGCAATGTATTTTTTCCCCTAATTCGAACGGATCCATTGATTTGCATAGAAAATATAGAAGCTTCATTAGATCGACTTTTTTGCTACTCTGATAACGAAATGAAGCTATACTCTTGGAACAAAAACTATTCGAGGGACTGTAGGCCACATTGTGACAAAGGTTCAGTTCTTAGAAATATATCCTTAGCAAGAGAAGCCAATTTAGAAAAAACTCTCGGATTTTTATACACTCTTAGCGTTTTTTGGAAGAAAGGTGGATGAAATCTGGTTATGGAAAGCACATCTATTAAATTTCATCATATTGTGCCAACATATTTGAGAAAAAGAGCTTGTGTCATTGTTACTTATAAAAAGATTACCACAACGATAGGCTTATATGAAATTTTTTGAGAATTCTTAAGTCACAACTTACGACTAACAACTGTCATTTCACTCTTTTGCAGATTTAAAATGAGTCAAAGGAAGAGGACCTCTTATAGAAAACAAGATCTCGAAGAAGCTGTATTAGCATATAAAAATAAAGAAATGACATCAGTTGAAGCTGCAAAAAAATATCGTGTACCGGAATCAACTATTCGAAGACATAAATCGAATCCAGCAGAAAAAATAGGTGCTGGGCGTCCTAATCTATTAAATGATAATCAAGAACAATATTTGGTAGCCTTAATCAAAGAACTAGAACAAATTGGTGTGAGAACAACAAAATCATGTACTTTAAAAATTGTCGGTGAATATATTAGTTTAGTAAATGGTGGCGGCGCTGTAAATACTTCTGGTAAGGTATAATTGACTGTTTCAATTTTTCGCATTATTCAGAACTAATTCTTTTGAAATGTCTGTTTCTTTCTTGAACCCGCTTAGACAACAAACCGGGAAAACACTGGTTAGAAAATTTTATGAATCGCCATAAAGATCAAATAAAGTTTCAAAAAGAACAGAAACTAGAAAGATCAAGAAAAGAAGGTTTCACAGAAGAGGTTCGCGTTGGATGGTTCGATAAATTAGAGTCAATATTAACACAAAATAATTTGTTGATACGTCCAGGTCAAATTTACAATGCTGATGAGTCTGGTTTCGCCGATTCTACACAATGTAAGTATAGAGCACAAGCAGTATTTTAAAGTTTTCTGTACCCTTCGTCAGAAAGTACCGTTAACGAATTATGGTTTTAGGTGAAACTCTTATAGTATCGAAGGAAACTATAACTAGTTTTGAACAGGCTGGCGGTAGTGAAAAACAATTCACTACAGCTCTTATATGCTGCAATGCAGTGGGTGAGGTAATGCCACCATTTATAATATATGCCGCAAAATCTTTAACCAAATTTGGACAAATGGTGGGCCAAATGGTAATCGCTATGGAGTGTCAGATTCGGGATGGATTAATGAATATTTATGTACAACATGGTTTGAACATCATTTTTTACCTCAAACGATTGGAGTTGATAAGCCAATTATTTTAATAATGGATAACTTACCAGCACATATTAGCGTGCATACAATTGAACTGGCGAAACAAAATCAGATAATTTTGTTACTACTTCCTCCACACTCCACACATTGTCTTCAACCTTTGGACGTTGTCACTTTCAGATACATGTTCCAAAAAGATGCTAGTTTTCTCTGGGAAACTTCTCCAGTATAAATCACAAGAAAACAGCTTTCATCTGCTGGTATTTCTGCTTCTAAAAAGGTGAATGCTCTAGTCTGGTTGAAAGAAAAGTAAAGCAACTAGCCAAGAATTTGCAATTTGTGTACTTAGAGCAGCAGAGTCGTTTGAAGGCGAATGAAAGCAATACTCTTACTGTTTGTGCATTGTTTTCCAGTTCAGCAAAACAAGTATGGAAACGAATAGTATCAAAATATTTTTCAAAAACGAATCGAAAGTCTATCAGAAAAATAGATTTTCCTGGATTAATTTTTTTAGTAGAATCGTGTAACTTAACCACTACTACCATCTTTTGCTGCGTAAGCAAAGCGAGAAATCGCAGCCGCTTTTACAAAATTTTGTATAATTGTTACTACTTCAACTTTTACTACGAGTTGTTTTCAGCCTCTTAATGAATTTGGAGTCCTGTCAATCTAAAAATGTTTGCAGAATTTAGTTTAAGCAAACCGTTAGTTCTAATGTACGCTCTATTCTTATAGCTTCGATCACATCAACTATGATTGATGCTTCTTCTCTTTAAGTATATATTTTCCAATAAGTGGTATTGGATGTAGTTGAAAAAATAGTAGTTTATGTAATACACTTTTTCAGGTCAACCAATGTTTTGCCGCTATCTACACAAAATCCGCCAACAACAGATCATTCTCATTCTTATTCAAATTTGTAATTATTGATAAGAATCGCGTATTCCAACTCTTGATACTTAAGTACGCTTTTGCTTTTTTAGCTTTCCGTTATCTGGAACAATTTTACTACCACGAATGGTTCCGAACAATAACAGCAGTTTAAAGTAAGCTCTCTTCTGACTAATTACCATTTTATGTGCTTTATATTCCTGTTTGTGGATTAGTGATCAACTGATTTCTCCAATTATAACAGTTTCATCAAAAAATGATCTGTCAAGATATGAAGTGTCATCATCAGACGACGACGACAATGAGTAGGCTTTTTTATTAGGAAGTAGAAAGCCATCTCAAGTTTTTTAGTCATCGAAGGTTTCTTTTTAGAATGGAGTTTGATAATAATCCTATAACAACGAAAGCTCATGGGTATTACAAACGAGTTCCAACTAAATCTTATAAAAACTACTCAGATATTTTAAATCTTGACGATTTTGGTAAGATTATACACTGTTGTCTGTGTTCATGTCTAATAAAAGTTTCTCTAATTAAGACGATGAACCATATGTAGTTCAAGTACAACATGCACCCACAACAACAGCTGAATTGTACATACCCTCGCAAACATCCCCAAAATCATATACAAATTTAATAGATGTCGACTTGAGCGATTTACCGCCACCAATGAGTCCTAAATCTGCTGTTCGATCGATCATCACGAATGGTGAGTAATTCCAGTTTATTATGTAGTGGTTTCCTAGTATTTGGGTTTTTCCTCACCTAAGTGGAGTAGATCCTTATGGATGCATGAGTTTATTGAATGTTCTAGTTGTTCAGCAAACACCTCAAGCACCTCTAACAGTAAAGCCGAACAATCGTATTCGAGCAGAGCGTAAATTCGGTGAAGAAATAACTAATGAAAATTTATTAGATCAGTTAAAACAAAAAGAAGCATCTAAACTTACACCAAAAATAACTAGAAGAAGAGTAACAAAAAAAACGGCAATATATCATGATTTTCCAACCACGATCTCACCCGCTTCTTCTGCAGGTGTTACTGGTAGCACAATTTCGTTTTCAACAGTAATGCCAACTCCCAGTTCGGTTATAATAACACCTGCGTCTGCAGTGCAGTGAGTTTTATACAATATCCTTTCGCTCAATTAACTATTATAAAACGATTGTAACAACTTACACTTTAAGATTTATTTTGTTTTTCCCATTGGAACGTTTTCCACTTCTCTCATGTTTTTGTTGATATTGATGAAAATTGCTTTGAACTTGTTTAAAACAAAGGCTATATCAGAATGAAAACCCTTAGTTTTCAGAAACTCAGATTAAAAGCTTTAAAAGCACGTAACTTTCTTACGCTATATTTGCACGGACGAACTATCGAAATGCATAGTGATGAAATTCAATAAATGATTGAGGTACTCTGGCTGTGCCGCTATCCTCTGTGCATCAAACAGGATCGAAATGATCGTTGCTACATTCTGAAAGGCTCAAACGGCAAAACGATCTTACACCGAGGTAACCCACAATTGTCGAG